TATATCAAAATTTAGAAATTTTTATTATCTTTCATATAACACCAATATTCAATATAAAAATAAATAGCTATTTCAAAAAACTTTTATTCTTTAAAGTGTTGTAACTCTTTTATTTTTATTCTAATTGTTACAAAAAATTTATCAAAATTCATAACTTTTTATTATCTTTCATATGACACCAGTATTGTATATATAAAATTGAAAAATAATTTGGCACTTTAAAAACGTTTATCTTTTAAAATGTTGTAACTTTTTATTTGTACTCTCATTGTCACAAAAATATCAAAACTCATGACTTTTTAATATCTTTCATCTAACACTAATACTTCACATACAAAAAAAAATTGAAGATACCATCACAAATTCTTTTTCTAAATTTAAAGTTTTAAGCAAAAAACCTCTATTAGCCGCATCTTCAACTTATATATATATATATATATATATATATATATATATATATATATATATATATATATATATATATATATATATATATATATATATATGCAATATTGGTGTCATACGAAAGATACTATACAGTTTTGAGTTTTAATATTTTCTATGACAATCAAAGTACAAATAAAAAAGTTACAACATTTTGAAAGACAAGTTTCTTAAAGTGCCAAATTTGTTAAAAAAAAGTGCCAAATTTGTTTTTCATTTTATATATACATTACTAGTGTCATATGAAAGATATAATAAAAAGTTATGAATCTTGATATGTTATTTATAATAATCGGAGCAACAATTAAAAACTTACAACACTTTAAAAAACATTTTTTTTGAAATCGCTAATTTTTTTTTTTATATATTCCATATAAGCTGCCACTTTAAGTGGAGGTTTTTAATCCTGATCAGCCTCCAACAGTATTTTGGGAAATATTATTAATCCGATCCTAATTTCAAGAAATATTTATTTATTTAGCATCACTTTGGGGAAAAACTCGTAAAAATCCATGTTAAACAAAATTAAAAAGACCAAGTTTACATTAAAATGGCATCAATAAACCACGTGCATAACATTTAAAAATGGAACCAATAAAATTAGAAGTAAATTATAGAGCACATAACATTTTAAAATTCCTCCCATCACTTTTGCAGTAGTGCGTGAAGAGACATATACTCTCACGGTTCTTTTTTAGTTGCAACGATCAACATTTCACATTTGTCAACACACGTCTTTGACCGTAATTATATCTTAATTCTATTAGTAAAAAATATTAAAAAACAGATTTTGAATATTGTAATGAGATGAATTGAACAAAAAATTTTTTTAAAAATAATTTTCATAAAATAATATCGTAAAATGTAATCAAAGTAGAGCATGTGAATAGTGTAAAATTCAACATGTTGCGATTAAAATGGAACATAGGATAGTATGTTCAAACAATTTTAACATTATTGACTACTAATAGTGTTAAATCGAGTTGGGGTTACCAGTTGGGTCAATGGACCCATATGCACCGAGGTTACCATTATCGAGTTTGATCCATGTCCATGTCCATGTCGATTTCTATTTCAATTCTATCATGAAGCGAATACTCATAGAATTTTTAAGGATGGTCATTGACTATTCTGGAAGAGAGTGAACGTTCGTCATCGATAACAAAAAACATGGTGGATCAAATTTCGATATGAATCCATAATTTAACTTGAGGGTTCTTAACCCCAAAAATTGAAGAAAGATATGGGAATTTCATTGGTTCATTTGTGTGAGTAATGGTTATAATTTTGGACATTGTGGTAACCTTTTATGCATATAAGTCTAGCTATGGACATTGGCAAACTACTAAAGTGCAGAATAAAGTTGAAATAGAGAGAAGGGATTGGGTTCAAGTGGAATTTCAATACGAGAAGTTGCCCAATATTTGATTTGTGTGTGGTATCGGTGGAGGACCTAAGGAGGGCTAGGGGGCACGTGCCCCCGCTTCGGGCTCAGAATTTCACTAGTAGCAGTTAAGGTAAAAATCAGTGACTCGCTTCGGGCTCGAAATTTCACTAGTAGTAGTTAAGCTCTCACAAATCTCTGGGTCTGCCACTGTGTGGTATAATTGTTCATGCGGAGAATTTTTGTTGTATTGCAATGGACTGCAACTCAGAATGTATGGAATGACCGTTTGGAACTTGGTTTAGAGCAGCAGGTGGCAAGCAGCTTGCTGGAGGCGGAAATAAACAGACGGTGTCTCCTGGAGGCAAAAGGCTAGTTTTCTGGTACCGGTTAGGATAATATCAGATGGCTGATGAGTTAGGCTCAGAGAAAGTGGCAGCAAACACTGAAGAGAGGTGAAGACCATAACAGAAGCATGGAAGGCCACAAGATGAGGAGGGGGCTCTTAAAGAGATAATGGAAGTCAAACTCTATAAGTCAAAAAATGGGATGGATGGCGGGTTGAGGTGGGTCGACTTGCCAAAATTGATATAGAAGCAAGAAGCCAAGACTTAGACTACAATGAGTTAGGGAGTATGCTTATAGATCAAGAAGGAATTTAGTTTTTCTCACTGATAGCTTAGCTCCCCGGAACACTGCTAGTGGTGACTGGTATGTAGAAAGAAGGCAGATCTAAGTATTGTGAGAGAAAGATATATGATGTATTGAATAGAATTCGAACAATTTATATTTGACCCAAGTGGGGTGTTTATACTAGTAATAAATGTTAAGTGCATTAAATATAAGTACATATGTAAGCTAGTTTATGTGCGAGCCATGCAATGCAGAAGAATGTGATGCATGATGCCTCGTGACAACTGCTGAGTAATAAACGAGGTGATCAAGGGCGACGGGCTGTTGGCCCTCGTCCTTGTTGCTATTGAGTTATTGTGTTTGCTGGATTCCATGGGTGGTTGAGACCTAGTCGAGGACGAAGCGTTGGAGTCAGGTCTGTGCGGACCAAGGGGTTGGCCTAATGCATCCTTGTGATCTTATGTGCCATTTTCGGGTATTCTGTGATAGTGGTGCCTCGTCTGGCCGAGGGCCCCGAACGAGGGATGTAGTTCTGCTGCTAGTCTGGGCCGCTTGCATATTGATGTGTATGTGTGTCATTGGTCTGCACACATATACTCTCTCACTTGGTGTTTTATTTTAGCTTTAATTCATACTTTTTTATTTTGTATCTTAATTTATTTTATGGACATTCTGGTGCATGGAATTGTCATTTTAGTTTGCTTAAATTTTGTATATTTGAAGCATTATGAACTTCGGTGTCAAATTTTTCTTCAAAGCTCTTGCATGGTTAGCGAAACGATCTTCTCAGCTTTGGGTGTTCATTTTAATGTCTAACTAGAGAGTGGGAGGTCATTTGGGGTTTGAGTCAAGTATAAATGGGTAGTAGGTTATGGTCTGATGTAGTGTTTATGATTAATTTATATCAATATAAGTGATTCTCTTTCAAAAGATAAAAAAGAATTATTGTCATGACATCATTGTCACCAATCACACAAACCCAATTCGGAATATTTAATAAATTTGAGCCTTTGTTTCTCTCATGTGGGATATCATTCAAACTTTATAGCAAATTAATTGTAGTCCATTCTGACGTGTGCAAAAAAATATTATGCCTTGTGAAAGCGTTTTTTGATTTTAAGTTTTTAACTGATGTCGGGTGTTTGAACTTTGACCAAACTAATTCCAATAGAAGTCTGGGCCACATTAGGAAAATGGTGTGGTCAGGATTGAAAAGGAGTGAAACGACGAGAGGGTTAAAAAGGGTGTGAAACGCGATCTGATCATGGTGTGGCAAGACGTTAATGCCAAAATTCAAACCTCAGCTATGCTAGGCAAAGTGTGAACAAGGCAACAAAAGTTTAATATTAATAACTATTTTATAATGATGCATAATGAAAAGAAATAGTTATGAAAATATACATAATTGAGCATAAGTTTACTTCACTTAGTGAATATTTAACACCTAGGTAAGTATATATATAAAATTTAAAAACACTTAATAATATATTTGTACTTTTTATTATTAGACTCCACAATTAACATATTTACACAAATGAACATTTGTTGAAATTTAGAGTTTTTTCCAAAAACACTACTAATGAAAATATATGGACAAAAATGTGACTATAAGTTACTATGTGTATGTTTTATAGTCACTGTGACGTAACATTTGAATAGAGCTAAAGTCACTAAAGTTACTAGAGTCATGTTGTCTACTACTTTTATTTTGGTTATATATTTGGAATTATTTCTAAAATTTAATCGGAGAGTACTTATTTTGACGAATTGGCCGATCTAATCTTATCATTGATATCCAAAACTTAAGGTTACTATATCTTTCTTCTTTATTTGGCTTTGATATCATTGATGTTATACTAGTTCTTTAAGGATAAACTATTCAAAGTGAGAAAATGTAACAAATAAAAAATACTCCATCCGTTCCTGAAAATACTTTCAACTTTTCCTTTTCGTTCGTCCCAAAAAGAAGTTCCCTTTCCTTTTTTGACAAAGAATTTGTGGTTCACAACAATTCTTACACATTTCTTTCTCATCTGCACCACTCTGCACCACACAAAACTCACTTTCTTAATCCGTGTGCCATTTGTACTACAAAAGTAAATTATAGGACGGAGGGAGTAATTTTTAAAAAATGTAACAAACAAATGCAAATACACCACCGCCAAAAACATCTAAGCCTTATTCCTACGGAGTAAAAGATTTTGGGATCGAATAATATAAATTGATCCATGACATCAAAGCCCAAAAAAACGAAAGATAAGAACATAAAAAGATAAATATAAAATGATCAAGATAAATAGATAAAAGAGCATAAAAAATACATAGTATAAAAATAAAAATAACATAAAAGCATATAAAACTAAAGAAAAAAAAGAGGAAAAACAAGAGATTAGGAAGACGGTAAAAAACAACAGAATACGAGGAGGGTAGTATAATTGTCATTTGTCAAAGGTGAGTTCTAAATTTATACGGAGTATATATATTGAGAAATACGAAACTTTATAATTTTTATTACACCATACGGAGTATCAATTTATTCAACAACTAGCCCTTTAAAGTCTTACTCGAGACTTGAGAGGTTCTTAAATCTTAATAATGGTATTCTAATTTTAATTAGGAAAGAAAAAAACAAAACATATAACTCCGTATACCGTGCCGTGAATTTCCGGATTTATCCGGCGGTGCAGAGTTCAAGAGCCGCCGTGCCAGTAGCGCGGGGCGCGTTACTTTCCGCCACCGTCACACCGCGAACTCCAAGGGGCCCACCTAGATCAACCCCCTAACCTGACTTCCCCGTTCATCAGCAATAAAAGATCTAATCTATCTATCTCTATCTATCTATATACAGCCGGATCTCTTCTGTCCCTTGTGCATTACGCGTTGCACTTTCCAGTCTTCTTCTTATCTCTCTCTTCAAATTTCTCTTACTAAAACCCTTTCTCTCTCTTACCCACTCTCTAAAATTGTCATTGTCGACACTACGTTCTTTGATTCCCTGATCCCACGCCACCTACAGCTCAGAGGAGAGAAACCCATTAATCCCAATCTGGGTTTCTCTCAAGAAAGGAATCGACCCCCACCCCACCCCACCCCCACACCCACCCCACTACGCGTAGTTATACACCGTAGACAATACACCTAATTTATTAGCCGATATTAATACCGTATCTGTATTTGTGCGTTTGTACATCATTTTCAGCCAGTCTGGTTATTAAGAGCACACTATCATAAACTAAGAGAGTTGAAGAAAGAGAACAGGCTGTGCCTTTCTTGACTGTTCTGCATAATGGGCTTCTCTCACTGAAAGAGAGAAGGGGGATAAAGGGAAGAGGGAGTTATCTCTTTCCTTGTTTGCTGGCTGTGAAGGTCCAATGGAAACCAAAGGGAGGCTAATTGCTGGTTCACATAATAGGAATGAGTTTGTACTCATAAATGCAGATGAGGTTGGAAGGGTGAGTGCCTCTAAAGATGGCAACTTTCTTGTTCCCTTCCCCTAGGGAAAGAGATTTGTGGATTGAAACCCAGTTTTCATGTGGTATTTTTGTGTCGGTGCTATGTACTTTAGCCTCAATTTTGGCTTTTCATGCATCCTCTTTGAGCATATTCATTTTTCTTGGCAAAGATTTGGCCTTTACTGAAAAACTTGAAGCTGAATGCTAGGTTTTCAGCTAAGAAGTGTTTCCTCCTCTCCACATCTCTTCTCTAATTTTCGCAATCCAAATCGTATATATCTTAATTGCATAAATCTACATCAGATTTCCCTTGCTTTTGCTTTGACTTCGCTAGAAAATTACATAGGTTTATGGATGACGCTTGCTAAAATTGGTTTCTTGTAGCTTACTGTCAAAATTATTTGACTATTGGAGAAGTCATAGCCCTCTTTGATTTTCTTACCAAATCTGTTATACATGGATTTGGTTTGGGGTGTAATTGGTCATTTTCTGTGTTTATGACTTAATTCTTCAATCTTCTGCTCAAATTTTGGGATTTCTTAATCTGATGTATGGATATTAAAACAGGTCACTTCTGTGAAGGAGTTAAGTGGGCAGATTTGCCAGATTTGTGGGGATGAGATTGAGATTACGGTGGATGGAGAGCCATTTGTTGCTTGTAATGAATGTGCATTCCCTGTTTGTAGACCCTGCTATGAATATGAAAGGAGGGAAGGAAATCAAGCTTGCCCTCAATGCAAAACTAGGTACAAGCGCATAAAAGGTAATTCCAATTCCCTCTATTTGAACTTTTCTTTTTCTTCATTTGGGATACGCAAGATGTGAATTTTGATAAGATTGAAACTATATTTCATTTCAGGGAGTCCCAGAGTTGAAGGTGATGAAGAAGAGGATGAATTTGATGATTTGGATCACGAGTTTGATTACCCTGAACATTTTACTGAGGCGGGGCTTTCTGCTCGCTTTAATGGCGGGCTTGGAGTCCATGGTTCGGGGACCAACCCAATGGAGTCCGATCCGTCTTCACTTGACTCAAAAATCCCTCTACTTACCTATGGTGAAGAGGTACATTCAATCACATTTTTTGTCTTTTTTGTTAGGACATGTTTGAATCCAAGAAAATGGTAGGAAAAATGCAATGGGAAATTAATTTCTTGTGTTCTGTTTACCACGAGAAATACAAATTAAAATGAATTATGAATAATGTTTTAAAGCTTTCTTAGTCTTTGTGTTATAGAAGTTGATAAATAAAACGAGTCACATAAAATAAATTTATTGCCTAAATAATGCTTTATCTCCGCTCACTTTTTCCTACTAATTTTCATCCATAATATCCTCCCTATTTGATTGATGTAGCATTTTTAGAGTTCCAAATGAACGCTTTATATCCCGCAAATTCTTCAAAGATTGCAACTTTTGATATTATTTTTGCAGGATGATGGCATTTCAGCAGACAAACATGCTCTTATCATTCCTCCATTTATTAGTCGTGGGAAGAAAGTTCACCCTGTTCCTTTCTCTGACACTGCGTCGGTGGCATGTAAGTGATGATGAATGAATCTTTGACCAGCAAGTATGGTGAATTAGATTTGACTCTCTGAATACTGATTTCTGTGTAGCGATGCCACCTCGTCCCATGGATCCAAAGAAAGACTTGGCCGTCTATGGGTATGGAACTGTTGCATGGAAGGAAAGAATGGATGAGTGGAAGAAAAAGCAGAATGATAAACTGCAGGTAGTTAAGCATGAAGGAGATAAAGGCGGAGGTGATGAGCTTGATGATCCTGATTTGCCTAAGTAGGTTTATTATGGTGATCTTTATTTATTTGTATACGAAATTTCTTATAGTTTGTGGCTCCAAATGATGCAATGTTTTTTTTGAGCACCTTTCGTTTCTAGAATTTTTCCATCATTTGCTTGCAATGGAGATAGGTCATCCGGAATATGATGGAATATGATGGAATAAGGCAAAATGGCTCACTAATAGGTCATCCGGAAACAGTCTCTCTTCTTTGTGCTTTAGTACAGGGGTGTGCTTTAGTACAGGGATAAGGTTGCGTGCATCCGACCCTTCCTTACTCCATCGTAGGAGGGGTAATGATGATGATGATAACATGTTAGTTAAGTTTAACCTGGGTCTTAATGAAAAAAGGATTTAATTCGTATTTGTTACAGAGTATTTGTTCTTTACTTAGTATTTTAGGGGCACCACTTAACATAAAATCTTTGGAACTAATTGCTGGTCAGATGCTTTTGTTCCTTCTAAAAGCTAATATTTAGGTCTTTTGCCATAATTTCGATACCATTTCCTTACTTAATGAACCAGATAAATTATTACTATATAAATAAAATTAGTTCAGTTGGGGTCCTCATATATTTTGAAGATTGATGCAAGATAAAGAAACAAGATGTCTGGGAAACTCAAATAATGTTCAATGAAAAGATTATGTGGACTAAGCAAACTCATTTAGTCTCTCCTAATTAATTGTTTGTAAGCTGAATGTGAAGGATGTTAGTTTAAGTCTTCAAGATGAACAAATTATCATTTGCATGAATACAGAACAGTGTTGAACAAATGGCATATCTTATTACTTGCTTTGATGGATTGAGTTGATAATATATTTGCTGTTTTGCAGGATGGATGAAGGGAGGCAACCACTTTCAAGAAAGTTATCAATTCCCTCAAGCAAATTAAGTCCTTACAGACTAATCATATTACTCCGCATGGTGATTCTAGGGTTCTTTTTCCATTATAGACTCCTCCACCCTGTCAATGACGCGTTTGGTTTGTGGCTGACATCTATCATATGTGAGATATGGTTTGCTGTTTCATGGATCTTTGATCAGTTCCCAAAGTGGTTCCCCATTGTACGAGAAACATACCTTGACAGGCTGTCCCTAAGGTATATACATCATTTGGTATTAACATCCTGCTCCCTTTTGATACCTTTTGGTCGTATTCTCTGAGCATTTTTTATTATCTCCTCAGGTATGACAAAGAAGGGAAACCATCTGAACTGGCCCCTATAGACGTGTTTGTGAGTACAGTGGACCCCTTGAAAGAACCTCCACTGATTACTGCAAACACTGTTCTTTCCATCCTGGCAGTTGATTATCCGGTTGACAAGGTGTCTTGCTACGTCTCAGATGATGGTGCTGCCATGCTCACTTTTGAGGCCCTATCTGAGACATCTGAATTTGCAAGGAAATGGGTCCCGTTTTGCAAAAGGTTCAACATCGAGCCTCGCGCACCCGAGTGGTATTTTTGTCAGAAGATCGATTATTTGAGGAACAAAGTGGATCCAACTTTTGTCAGGGAACGCCGCGCAATTAAGGTTTGCTTAGTTATGCTAGTCTGCATATATTCCTATTTTTTTAAAATTATCCCCTGAGCCTATTAAGGGCCTTGTAGGAACCTAGAAAATGTCAGGGAAAGAAAATAGTGAGGAAATAAGGAGTAAAGTTGGAGGGATTTTTTTTGGGGTAAATATGAGATTCATTAAACTCAGCAATTTAAAACTCATCGTATTTAATTCATTATGATATGCAAACACCAAAATCTAAATAAAAAATAAAAAATTAATCATATTTCATTATCTCTTGCATTGTCCATTGTAAAGCAAAAGTAAAAAACTTTCCATTGTACTATTTGTTTCTCTTCACCTATCATTTTGTGGGACACAATCATACCCCAAGTAACTGCAAAGGAAATAAAAAATTAATGATTCACCCTCTAATTATCATTACAGAGAGAATATGAGGAGTTTAAAGTTCGTATCAATGGGCTGGTTGCCATGGCACAGAAGGTTCCAGAAGATGGTTGGACCATGCAAGATGGCACTCCTTGGCCTGGAAACCTAATCAGGGATCATCCTGGAATGATCCAGGTCTGTATTTTTATATTTCTTTCTCGGTCCCTCTACCCTTGCTGCTTTTCATGATACAAGATTCTTTTTTCTCAACTACATGTACAAATAGGTTTTCTTGGGCCATGATGGTGTCCGTGACATTGATGGAAACGAACTGCCTCGTCTTATATATGTTTCTCGTGAGAAAAGACCTGGTTTTGAGCACCACAAAAAAGCTGGTGCCATGAATTCCTTGGTAAGTGTGTAAAAAAGCTTGCTTTATTGTGTTTTATGGGGCGAAACTTAATTAGTCATATTTCTATGAAACATGGTACTACCACTAGGTTCGAGTGTCAGCTGTAATCTCAAATGCTCCTTATATTCTCAATGTTGATTGTGACCACTACGTCAACAACAGTAAAGCACTCCGAGAAGCCATGTGTTTTATGATGGACCCACAGTCCGGGAAAAAAATATGCTATGTGCAGTTCCCACAAAGGTTTGATGGAATTGATCGGCACGACAGATACTCCAACCGTAATGTTGTCTTCTTCGATGTGAGTAGATCATATTCATCTGTCATATAAGTTATAAAAGTGAGTCAGTCGTGTCATTCTCTGATGATTTTTTTCTGCTTTGATGGTTGCAGATAAATATGAAAGGGCTTGACGGAATACAAGGTCCAATATATGTTGGAACTGGATGTGTGTTCAGGAGGCAAGCTCTTTATGGATTTGATGCCCCCAAAAAGAAGAAACCTCCAGGGAAAACATGCAACTGTTTGCCAAAGCTGTGTTGCTGTTGTTGTTCTGAATCTCGAAAGGATAAGAAAGGAAAATCAAAGGACAAAAAGAAGGCCAAAAGCAAGGAGACTTCTCCGCAAATTCACGCTCTTGAAAACATTGAGGAAGGAATTGAAGGTAACAATAATACACATGATAAAAAGCAATTAATGTGTATTTAATACTTGTAGTTTTTTAGTTTTCCTCAAGTGTAAAATGTATAAACTTAGTTATAATCATTTTGGTTTATAAAATCTAAAGGATTTTTTCTAGCAAACAATATTGATTATTTACGTCACTTTATTTATCTTGAAATTGTCAAATTCTATCTTGCAACTTGAGAATGAAGCAGATTCACTGTTCTTTATCATGTGGTCATTTGGCACACATTATAATAAACAAGGAATAAATAAGAATAATATCTTATGATATTATTAAAAAAACTGAATTTCTCTTAGCCAAAAGTACATGGATTTAATCTTTGTGCTTGTTTGCTTTTCATGAGAAATTATATATTGTTCTCTTTTGGAACCCAGCAAATGTCAGTTGAGGGGAAATTTTAAAGGAAAGGAAATGTGGGAAGTTATTAAGAAAAATTGTCAAATATTTCCCCTTATTTCTGAAGTGATAAAAACATCAAGTGCTGACTTGGTTACTGTTTTGCAGGAATTGATAGTGAAAAAGCAGCACTTATGCCCCAAGTAAAACTAGAGAAAAAGTTTGGCCAGTCACCAGTTTTTGTTGCTTCAACACTTCTAGAAGACGGTGGTATTCCTCCAGGAACCACATCAGCATCCCTTCTCAAAGAAGCTATCCACGTCATAAGTTGTGGCTATGAGGATAAAACAGAATGGGGCAAAGAGGTAAGTAGACTTTGCTTCACTCTTAGACTCCTTGTTTTGAAAAATTCCACCTTTAATCCCCAACTTTTATTTTCCCCACTTTTGGTGCATTACAATGATTCTTTTGTCCCTTTTTGTCCTCTGGGCAACTTATCCTGCAAAATTTAACTGGAAAGTGTATGGGAATTGACGGTATCAGTGGTTGGCTGGACCGTGAAAGAAAAGATCTACCGATGTGCACTAAAAGTGGAATAATGACAGTTGGGGACCAGTACCCCAATTGTAAAATACTCTCATTGAACAACTGGACAAAAAATGGAATATTTTCTCCCAGTTTTTGACATAACATTTGCTGATAAAGGGTGCAATTTTTGGGCATTAATTAACAGGTTGGGTGGATCTATGGATCCGTTACTGAGGATATCTTAACGGGCTTCAAAATGCACTGTCACGGCTGGAGATCCGTCTATTGCATGCCCAAAAGGCCCGCGTTCAAAGGTTCAGCTCCCATTAATCTTTCAGACCGTCTGCACCAAGTTCTTCGGTGGGCCTTGGGATCTGTAGAGATCTTGTTGAGCAGACATTGCCCGATTTGGTACGGTTATGGGTGTGGTCTGAAATCACTGGAACGATTTTCCTATATAAACTCTGTTGTTTATCCGTTGACCTCTGTTCCATTGCTTGCTTATTGTACATTGCCAGCTGTCTGCCTGCTCACTGGAAAGTTCATTGTTCCTGAGGTAAGAAAAGTCTATGCTTTGGTCAATTGTCATTAATCAATTCTGTTTTGTTCCAAGTATACCCTTACTTGTAAAGGGTAGTAACATTTTCCTATTAAATGTGAAATATAATCTAATTTTCTATGTAACTGGTTTGTATATTTTTTAATAGAGGCGCACCCTTATAGTAATTTAACATTCCAAACGCTTCCTCACTTTTGTCATTCCATTGATCTGCAGATTAGTAATTATGCAAGTATTGTTTTCATGGCTATGTTCATATCCATTGCTGCAACAAGTATAATGGAGATGCAGTGGGGAGGTGTCAGCATAGATGACTGGTGGAGGAACGAGCAGTTCTGGGTGATTGGAGGAGTCTCCTCCCACTTCTTTGCTCTATGGCAAGGTCTCCTCAAGGTCTTAGCCGGGGTCAACACTAACTTCACCGTCACGTCCAAAGCAGCTGATGACGGTGACTTTGCTGATCTGTACATCTTCAAGTGGACGGCTCTGCTGATCCCTCCCACAACACTGCTCATCATCAACATCATCGGCGTCATAGTCGGAGTCTCTGATGCCATCAACAACGGGTACGACTCGTGGGGCCCGCTGTTCGGCAGGCTCTTCTTTGCCCTCTGGGTCATCATCCACCTGTACCCTTTCCTCAAGGGTTTGATGGGGAAACAGAACGGGGTGCCTACCATCATTGTCGTCTGGTCGATTCTTCTTGCTTCCATCTTCTCGCTGTTGTGGGTCAGGATAAACCCGTTCGTGTCACGGGACGGGCTTGTGTTAGAGGTATGTGGGTTAGATTGCGAGTAAAAGAGGAACCCTGTTTTTACAGTTCTTTTTACTTGAGGGACTCGGAGAACATAGCAGAGACTTCGGAAGCAGAAGATGAAGTGAAGAAACAAGAACGGGTTCAGGTGGTGGTTGTGTACAGACAGACACATTCAAATCTTTGTTTTTGTGGAAAGCTTTTTAATTCATTCTTTAGGTACAGTATGTGGTGGTGGTGGCTTGCATCAGAAAGGGTATGTGTTAATCTTTTAAAAGGAACATATATATTATTTATTATTTATAGGACCTGCCTCATAAATTATGGAGTGTATCTCTTTCTCAATAAAGAAAAAAATGAACTTCCACAGTGTAATTTTTCTTTGCTACCCAAAGAAACTTTTTTCCATGTTTGACCCCATATGAGCATTTTGGTTTGGTGCAGATGAGAATTTCATTCATTTTCATTGTAAGAATGCATCAAAAGAACACAGTTGTGGTGCTGAATCCCCTTTTTTCAGTAAAAGATCATTTTTGGTTTGTTGCTGCTGTTGTAATGAGCATATCTACATATGCAGTGTAAAGCAATTATTAGTTTATTACTATCCCTTATAATGTTATATTAAACCAATTCGATTTATTTGGTATGGTGCCATTTATGTTTAAATCTTGACCAACACTCCAATAGCCATGGTTTTAAAACTCAAGACAGGAACTAGTGAAGTTCAAGCTTCAATTGACAATGATCTAAAAACATAGGAAAATACTGGCAGATAAAAAATAGGAAAAATTCCTTTTATAAAACAGTACAAGCCAAGTTTTACATGTCGGGTTACACGCCTGTCAAATTGTCTGTGTACAGACAATTTGATCGACTACACAGACATATTGAGCGGTGATTTACGAAGAAAATTGATTTTCACACAGACAAAAATAAAAAAATGTCTGTATCATAGACACTTTATGAAAAATTCAGGTTTAAAATGTCTGTGATACAGACAACTCTTGATATTTTGTCTGTATGGAAATCGATTTTCTTCATAAAATGCTGGTCAAATTGTCTGTTTAGCCGATCAAATTGTCTGTATACAGACAATTTGACCGGCGTGTAACCCGGCGTGTACACGAAGCGGGACTCTAAAAAATAATGAACTTTAACTACACACCCATATGGTTCTCCGTTCTTTTTTGGAATTCGATGAAATGACGTCATTGACGTGTATGAAATTTAGTAATTGCAGACAAGTACATGAAAATTATGCATGTTTTCCCTAAAGAAGGTGGCTCATATTAAGATAACATAACGTGAGTAGGACACACAATGACAAAAAGCCTTCTATTTGCTGTTCGCCCTCCGCCAGACGTAGAATTTATCGCCTCCGTAGAAGCAATTAGATTCTCTGATCCTGTAATGGCTTAACTGAGCCAATGACAGACAAATCAGATTTCTAATCAACTGTCCTAAGTTTAAGAGTTTTTCTACTAGGAAATAACAACACAAAAAAACATGTAGTTCAAAATAAAAGCATCATGACTAAAAAAATGTCCTCCACGTAGCATAAGAAATTGAATCCTCAAGAGCTTTGGAGGGCGTGGGACCCAACGCCCATATTTTTTGGCATGTCAAACGCCATTTCTTCCACCATCGGGTCTCCCTACTCTTGTTTTTTTCATGTACGCCTCCTCTTCTGATCTCCGGCCAACACCATCCTGAATCGCTCTCCTGTCACTCTGTCAATAATAAACACCATCATCCGTGGGACTCGTCCTCCTTGTGACTCGGGTCTTGCCCTTGATTCGTCCTATTGCTATCATTCAATTTGTTTGTTCCCGTTGTTGAACTCCTCTATGTAACCAACCACTTATTGTCCAAAGAGGGTCGAGGTTTTCCCCCTCCCGCATGCAGCCACGGTCCGAACTCCGAATGGTTTGGTTAGAGCCTTATCTTATCTCTCATAAATTGGAGGACAAAATTTCTGAGCATGTCCTATGACTCCACAAACAAAGTAGAAGCTAGGCAACTTTTCATACTTAAAGAATTAAAGTCTACCCAATAATCCCCACTTTATTTTTCTTAATGGTTGTTCCAACTTACACCTTTAAGGGTTTCCTCACATCCAAACACACACCCATCCGCACATAGGCCTCCTGTTTGCCATCAAATTGATTATCATCTCATCTAACGAGTTTCCCCATGTAATTCTCAATTCTCTTAGCAATTCCTAGGTTAGAGTAGCCATACAACATGTTATGTACCTGCACTCAGAACTCAACCGACTTCAAGAGGACTTTAAGAGAGATGTTGGGATATTGACCCGGGGGCCCAATACCCGGATTAAAAAGGCCCAGGATATCCAGCCCAAACAACGAGTCCATTACCCTATGATGAGTAGGCCCAGTGAATAATCCATACCGAACGAGGTTCGGTCCAAGTAGAGGCCGACCCAGAAAGCAGAAATACCGAACGGAGTTCGGATCATACATCATACTTGGGCCAATTTGACAACGTCTTCCGCATGGTCCAGCATCCCGTTCGAGCAACGGACAACAGGCAAGTGGCCTGGTGCATTTAATGCCAGATTGTGACATCAGCAAGTGGAAGCATGGGTGATCAAGTCGGTGGAACAACGGCCAATCAGCATAGAACAGCCCATGCTCTCCATTAGTATAAATAGAAGGTTTAATATCATTGTAAGGGTTAGCATTTTGATACTCAAGCTCTAGAATAGCATTATTACTCTCGTTTCTTGTATTAAAGCACAGTTCCGACGCACCGATCGGGAAGTTTCCTTGTAATCAAACAGGTTAATTAATACAAGTGGGCTTTTGAGCATTCGTTGAATCATCTTTTATATTTTGTTATACACTTTGATTCTGATCCATTCCTGATATATCCAAAGTTCGTGTATGGCTTTCGGATCTGCGGGACTTAACTTCAACATTGGCGCCATATGTGGGAAACATTCAAAAAGTTTCACATCAATTATCCAAAACAACTATTTTTAAAAACTGGTCAGAATCAGTTCTTATCACACAAATGATGGTTCGCGCCGTCACGGAAGGAGTCAAACTCCGAGAAACCAAACCCCTCAGGGACAATCCAGCTGAGGAACATATCCTCATTATGGTGGGGACTTTGTCTTTCCTGAAGCCCCAAGGAGGAATCCTCAGGCCATGCGAGATATGGCCCAGGTCATGCAGCACGTGGCAAACGAGGAAGAAGGAGGATCCAATTTCACAAGGGAAACTCCCCACACAGAAACAACCATGGCGTCATCCCACTCACGGGCCCATCGGGATAATCGACGTTGCGCTCAAACAGCAGCGCATCGTATTCCCAGTGACCGGACCCCGATCGGATCACAAGCCAGGGGACCTACTCCTATTGGCCGTCATTTCCAGCATGACGAACGGAATTATACTAGGGCTACGCAGAGGCATTGGGATCGGGAGTATGCAGATTTGAGGACTCCACCACCGCCCCCTTTGACGGCCTAGGAGGAAGAAATGGCCGAAATGAGGAGACAGATGAATGAAATGAGAGATCAGATGAATAGGGCGCTCGTACAACCTGCTCCGATCCAGCTCGGGATCACTTATCCTTTCACCAGGGAAATTATGTATGCGGATATCCAGGGAGGTGCCAAACCACCGACCGGTCAGATATATGATGGGGTAGGCGATCCCCAGGTCCATTTAAGGAGTTATCAAGGAGGACTCATGCTACTAGGAGCGCCCGAGGCTGCCATCTGCCGACTGTTCTTCAGTACGCTCAGAGGACCCGCTCAAGAATGGTTCAGGACCCTGCAACATGGGTCGATCGGCAGCTTTGCCGAACTATCAACGTTGTTCTTGGTCCAATTTGCCTCCAGTGCCAACCCAAAGCGACATTTCAGCTACCTGACTAGCATAAAGCAGAACTCCAAGGAGACCCTCAATCAATTCTTGAAAAGATGTAGGGACGAAACTCTGACGGTCGGAAACATGACGGATGACACCGCCATCACCCTATTCACTAACGCTCTCCGAACGGGAGAATTATACAAGGATTTGAAGAAGAATCCGGGTACGGCGTATGCCGAGGTGTTAGACAGAGCCCGCAAGCATGTTGCCCTGGAAGAAGAGATTATGATCAGGGACAAGGTCGCTGCGCCTTCTGCCCCCATCAAGATGGCCGATCGGCTGGGTCCTACCCCAGCGGCCACTCTCCCTCCTAAGCAAGGGCGATTTACTCCCCTGGTCCTGTCCGTGGCAACCATTTATCAGAACGAGAAGGACAACATTCCCCTTTCCGACTGAATCTTCAAATTATATGGGAGCAGATGAATCTGCTTTTTGTAAATATCATAACAGGAAAGGTCATGCTACCGATGCTTGTAGGGCACTACAAACGGCCATTGAGGACTTGATCCGGCGGGGTCATTTGGGCGAGTATGTAAGTAAAGACCCGAATGCGGTAGGCACTTTAAAGCCGGTCAGGAGACTCAACAGCTGGCGACGGGATGCCCAACGTGATGCCCAGCCCCAGAATGACGTATATATTCCTTCCAGAGACGAACCAGAGGGCTCGGGAGGCCCCGGAAAGAAACCTCGAATGGAGGTCAAAGTTATATTTGGGGGCGGGGAAACAGGGGATTCGAACGTCGAACGAAAAAGGTTCGAGCGAAGTCTTTATGTAGGATCCATCTCCACTCCCCCCAGAGGAAAGGAAGGACGGACCCAATCACATTTGGGCCGGCTGATTTACCTAACTCGCCAAGTCCGCACAGGGATGAATTGGTGGTGAGCATGTGCATTGACAATGCTTTGATTCGCCGGGTACTGATCGATACGGGGAGAAGTATGAACGTATTGTATTTACAATCGTTCGAGAAAATGGGCCTACAGAGAAGTCAACTGACCCACCTAAGAACCCCACTGGCAAGCTTCACCGGTAACTGTATTGAGGCTGAGGGGACCGTTCAATTATTAGTTGAAATTGGGGACGAAACGCACAAGGCATCAGTCCGAATGACGTTCGTTTTGGTGGACATAAAATGTGCCCATAACACAATCTTGGGCCGACCGGGATTGGAAGATCTGGAGGCAATAGCCTCTGTCCGCCACTCGTGCATCAAATTCCCCACGGACACTGGGGTTGGGGTGGCCAGAACTGATACGGCGACAGCTCGAACGTGCTACCGAGAGGCCCTGAAGCAGATGAATACCCGTGGAATGCGGGTTAACAGTATTGAGGTGGAGACCCACCGAACGGAGTTCGAGGCGCATCCAGAACCTGCCACTCTCCTCGAGCAAATTGACCTGGACTCCCCCTCGAACCGAAAGGTAGCTATCAGGGTGGATCTGGAGGCTGACATTCGGGATGGCATGATTGACGTCCTAAAAACGTTTCAGGTATTATTCGCCCGAGGGCCGGAAGATATGCCGGGCATTGACCCAAAGATAATCTGTCACAAGCTTGCCGTTCGGCCTGACGCAAAATCGGTCCAACAAAAGAAACGATACCAAGCGACCGAACGACGGGATTTCACAAAGCAGGAAGTGGCCACCTTGATGAGAATAAAACACATCCGTCCGGTAATCCATGTCGAATGGCTATCCAATGTGGTCCTAGCCCCAAAACAATCGACTTGGAGGATGTGCGTGGATTACCCGGATCTAAATAAAGCTTATCCCATGGACCCTTATCCGGTGCCGAGGATCGATCTG